ACACTATTGAAATTCATATGACTACGAACTATAAAACGGACTTATGTATTCCTCTCGTTTCTTTATAATATTCCTAATTTTGACTTTATGAGTACAATTCTTTACTAGTATTTAGTTTACCTAATCTATATGTTTTACGAGAAAAGTCATATGCTATCTTTATCGTCTTGATAACTTTCCATATCGATTGTTTTATTAAAAGCCAGTCGCGCCTGTCTCATATTGTATAACTGGCCCAGTGATTCATTAGTGGGTTATTGTTAGCGAACTAAAACACATGTGTTTATATAACGATAATTATTATTTGTACTGACTGACTGCTGTACATTATGTGTTATATGTACCGAGACTGTTTTAATACAATTTCTTTTAAAATATGTTTTATAGTTTAAATTTTACAGACAAATATTATGTTATGTTGATTTTATGAATATAACTCGAGTAATGATTTAATTTTTAACGATATAATTTGTAATAAATATTTTATAGCTTACTAGCTTTCCGCCCGCAGCTTTGCCCGCGTGGCGTTCGGTTATATCGCATTTCCAAGAGAACATTTCAAAAGTCTGGGATAAAAACTATCCTATGTTCTTTCTCAAGGTCCAGTCTATCTCTGTACCAAATTTCATTAAAATCAGTTCAGTGGTTTAGGCGTGAAAATGTAACAGACAGACAGAGATACTTTCGCAGTTCTAATATTAGTAGGGATATGTATATATAAAATCTAGATTTCATAATAAGTCCTTCTTTCCACCTCGCTACGCTCTAACACCAGCTATTGATAAAATTATTATTATGTTCCTACTCGTTGATTCTTTATTTACTTTATGATAATTACGTAAACCCTGTTAGTTTCTATTATTATTAAATAATAAGCAGACGAATATCGAATTAGCGTACATTAACGATAAAATAGTAATATTATGATTTAGATTTGAATAGTTTTTTAATCGACGAGATTTAATATGATCCATGTATACTGTTGTATTAGTTGAATATGGCTATTTTATATGAAATATAGAATAATATTGTCTCCAAGATATAATGAGATGTATACATGATAATTTATCTATATATGTATATATATATATATATATATGATGTTTAAATATAGGTATTCAGTGTATGACTGTATGTTTTGATTTGTTCATCCTACTCGTTCATTATAATTTTGGATTGCCTATTGAAAGTTCTTAAATCTTACACTAAGGGTTTAACATATTAACTTTGTAGGTCAAGTTCAATACTTGTAAATAATTTGTTATACATGGTTGTTAGTTTTTCAGTTGCACTCAAAGTAAGTATACTAGGTTTCGATTAAGATAATTACATCTATAATATTGGTACTCAAACTATGTTCAATATTTATATTAAGTATTTGTACAACACACGAGTCTTATGGAGTTGTTATTCACTTCTCTTTAAAAATGTTTATCCACGTCTGATTTGGAGGTAGACGGATTCACATACATACATACTAACGTAGCACCAGTCCCCAATGGATCATCAGATGTCTGGTACATAACTCATGTGTACGAGATCAAAGACATGTATGGGCCGCATACAAAAATGTATATATACATATAATATAGTAGTATAGCGTCGGACACACTCGAAACACATCCGTGACACACTCCAATAAAGTACAAATCCAACAATTAGCGCGGTATCGATTGTTTTGGCCGGCCGTCCTCTATGTAATTGAAATTTGCGTAGGCCCGTGCAGGGTGGCAAGTGGTGGGGCCTGGTGTTAGGTGGTGGGTAGCTCTAAGCTTCTCCCCTCCACGTTTTGTGATGCGTGTCTCGTGTCCGTCCCCCTGATATCAATACTCGATGGATATCATTTTATTGGGAACGAGAGATATGGAGACAATGTTTATGTAGCCGAACTCGACCATAAAAAATATATATTGACATTGTTTTCTCCTCTTAATTTAATGTATTCGCTATATTACATAGTCACTGGAACATTTTAGTTTTTTATATTGTTTACATGTTATTGTGACAGTCACTGGAAATCTTACATAATATTTTTCTTACATATTTTTTTGATTCTTCAAGTATTACTTTGTTGAAAGTATTATGCGACTAAGGAGTATTAAAATCTCTTAAATTTTTTTTTAGCATACGAATATTTTTTCTGTGCAAAACATTGCAATCAATATTATTTTATTGAGGTAAAGTCCTATAGTTATATTGGTATTAATGAAATTATAACTGGACATACAAACATGTATGTATCCCTACTAATATTATAAATGCGAAAGTAACTCTGTCTGTCTGTCTGTTACGCTTTCACGCCTAAACCACTGAACTGATTTTAATGAAATTTGGTACAGAGATGGAGTTGACCTTGAGAAAGAACATAGGATAGTTTTTATCCCAGACTTTTGAAAGGTTCTGTTGGAAACGCGATATAACCGAACTCCACGCGGGCGAAGCTGCGGGCGGAAAGCTAATAATGTATAGGTATACTGTAATTAAGGGACCGTCTGTCCTAAAGTGACGAGTGTAGCGCTGTCAGAGAGGAGCGGTAGCTTGGACGATTTGACTAATCTTGTTTGGTAGACGTCTAAGTTTCTTAACATAGTATTTTCTAGTCGTCTCAATATCATATCGTCACATGTACGAGATGTACGTATGTATGATAGCAGTACTAGTTCTAGAAATACTTCGGAAGATTTCTGAATAAATTTTCTTCTATTCTGGTACACCGATTTCTCATTCAATCATTATTCTGACTCTCTTTCTGTTTTGCTACGAAAGTGAAAATATAAAGAAAATTCTTTATGAATAAAAGTGTTGATTCCATTTAAAAAGTAAATAAATCTGTAGTTCTGATTTTGGACTCGCATTAATTAATAACGTAGTATAGCAATCTTTACATTTATTTTGATATTAAGTGTTTTGGTCATTAAAGAAATGAACGACTAAATTTCAAAATTATTTAATTTATCTTAAAAATAATACGATATAAGTCTAATTTTTAACTGTTTGTTCTGGCACTTCTATCAGTCCTTGGAACTGCTCGTGTATAAATGATTTAAATGTGGCCATTATTCTTTTTAGTAGAGCAGATGTAGGTGTGTGAAGGATAAAATCACGATATTAAAATGCGTAAGATGAAACTCTCATACACTCAACTGATTGGTACATAATAAGCTGGTAGTGTTGTGGTCTTTAAATGACTTACTAAACATATGGTAATTAAGATATTTTCTACAAGCTTTACCTTAATATAACTGATATATATTATATATTACAATATTCATAATACGTACAGTCAAAAATAAGGAATATAGAATATCAGTACAAAACTATTTTTATATAAAGGCTTAATGATAGCTTCCGTCGCTATCATTTTTATTTTTATCCAAAACCTACTCCTAGTTAAAATATATTTTAAATCGCATGTATATAACAAGAGAAATGTTCTGTTATATATTAGTTGGCAAACGTGAATTATAGAGTTGACCCAGTTGTCAGCGATATAATTTAGTGTACAATAAAAATTATTAATGGTCCCACTCTGATGGTGATATTACTGTAAAGAATTATGAAGTCGGCTCAGCGACTTGTGTGATATGGAATGGAATATACAGTAGAAAATATAATATTATATATGTTAAATATTAAGTTAGTCTACATAATTATGATGGATGTATATCTTGTGTAAATTCTGTTAATATCGGCGGGTGTCTCAGTCGTGGTTGTCGTAGTTTGTTATTAATAAAAGCATTTCGTGATAATATTAATGTTATCAGTGACAGTGTACACTGATCTCATTGTATAATGTAAATCGTTCATACATACATACATTATGACGTCCCGCCGCGGCCTGCCAGCGACAGGCGGCTGGCGCTATACAGAGACGAATTTTTGTTGATAATATCTCTTTGAGTATAATTAAATTAGTAAATTTACATGTATAAAACATCCGATATAACGAACCGTAAATAGGCTTAGTATGAATTATATTATTTACTTTGTAAAATCTATTTATTATGATGTGTGTTTAATGAGATCTGGGACTTTTCCGAGTTTTATTCATTTAAATGAAACTTTTTTTTTCGGATGAAATAAAATCGCGTAGTATATCCGAAAAATATTAGTTTCATTTAAATGATGTATGTTTTCCGGGATAAATAAAATAAATTATTTAATTATTGTGACCAGTGCGTTATATTCCTTTGTATTTCTTCTCCCATTATTCTGTCGTGACTCTTCACCAACTGTATACACGGCACGGTGTCTATTGTACCGTCAACATGTGTGTGTTTTCTTCGTAGTTTTTATAAAGTCACTCTTTATACACACCACGAAAACTTCTCAGTATTCATTATATTCACGGTCCGGGTGTCGGGTCCATCGTTGCAGGGAGAGGAGCTTCAACAGTGACTGGGACTTGCGACCCAGGTGTAGATTTTAGGGGACCCTATCTAACGCGCGTTAATCGCTCACCTCCACCGTCCAAGCTCCTCTCTCTATCTAATCAAATTTTAAACGACTCTACTAGGGCTACTTTTGAAATACGTTCTAGTAGTGAATTCATGTCAGTTCTGAACAGACCCAAGTCTTTCAGTCGGTTGTAGGCAGATGTAGCTGTTATACCTTTCGCTCTCACTACTACCGAAGAACCTATTCTTAGTTATTTCGTTAGTTAGATCGTAATACTTATTGACCTTGATGGCACGGTCTTCGGGGATGTGGGTTCCTAAGAAACCGTAACCTCTGTTAAAACATCTGGTCTGGACTCCGACGTACAAATATTCTCTGGGATTTTATATCATAATTGATTGACATTAATATTTTTCATATGTACCTATATGTGATTTAACGAATTTATTATATTGTTTAATCTTATAATATGATACAATATTCAACGAACATCATGCTAAACTCTGAAATGGTAGAAGAGCCCATAATTTTATAAATATTTCTATTTAGTATTGAGTAATTGTTAATTGATAATAATCGTTTGCCCCAGCTGTTTCGCGGCAATGGAAAAGGCGAAGGCGTATATCAAGAGCTCCCTGAGCGGCGGAGGGGCGGCCGCGTCCCCCGCGCCCCGCGACCCCCCCGCCGAGGAGAGGGTCTGCTTCGTGTGCGGGGGGGCGGGGCTGGGGGACCAGTACACCATCAGGGTGAAGCCAGACCCGCAGGTGAGAGAGGACACTATAACACACACAGATAAAAGAATATATACTTATAATAGAATATATACATATATGGGTCTTAAGGAGTCTGCCTACTACACCGTATCATACCATGACCGTGCTATGAACGTATCAAGCACGGAAAGTAATACGATACGGCTTGCTTTGCCCACTGACACGAGCTTTTCTATACAAAGAATATTTTTTTGCCTGACACGTTCCTATTACGGTCATGGTATGATACGGTGTAGTGGGCAGACTCCTTTAAAGGAGAAAAGATGCTGTTTTTCGTTAAGAGCAATATTATTTTTCAGTTCATATAATGTAAAATGTATTCGTTATTCAAATGTTTCCAAGTCGTCGCCCGTCGTCAATACAGCGACCTTACCTTTAGTTTGTGTAGCTAGACTAAATACAGACAGTTGCCAGTTTTCTATTAATAGATCGACATACATGGCAGTAAGAATATACATTCATATTAGTCACCTAGATGTTCTTCGTGTGAGTGAAGACATGTGTTAAGGATGGTTATATCATGTTGTATTCATCATGTAAGTTTTTCTTATTCCATATTCCGTATATTATTGGAGTGGGTCCGGTCTACGGTCAGTGAAGGTCACTTTAATAATAGTATCCGACTTTAGTAAACATTCCGTCTCTGTAACTTAATAGCTCAACAAATATTGTATTTCTTTACATCTTGTTTGTTTTCTGTGTTTTTAATATATTTTAATATTTCATCTTCTATCAAATTCATCAACTAGTATTCTATAATAGTCCAAGTCTGATGTTTTAGTTCTATATATTGTTGTGTATGTGTAGTGAGGTCGTGTAGTGATAATATAATGTTATCAGTGTTGTGTGTTTGATAACGTCATCCAGCGACCCGGCCGGCCCGAGTTCTCCATTACTTGACCCTCGACCCCGCGGCGATTCCTTCTAATTGACATCTGACCTCACGGAATGAAATTGTTTTGCTTCGGCTCCACCACTGTCTCCTACCAGCATACACTGGTTATCATTATGACAATATATTCCTTGTTGAAGTCATCTTCACGACTGTCTATATTTGACTTAGTTTGAGATTCAACTATCTTCGCAAGTACAAATTACAATCATCTCATTTTCTCTAAGGAGCTAAGGATCTTTTGTTTGTATTGTATATGTTATTTAATGATACAACTGTATTCCCCCGGCGTGCCTCGTCCACTGCCACACCGTCGCTGTATCTGAATGTTAATCGACCAAGTAAAGTGTGTCAATGAGTGTATGATGTCAGTGCGTGTGTGTGAGTACACGTGACACGTTCAACATTAAATATAATTGTTCCCCTATAAGGCTGCTTTTTTTGTCGGGAAATCTTAATTTTGGGTACATACATATTTATAAAACACAGTCTTAACGTAATATTTTCCATTCGTTCCTAATTTTCATATAAATTTCCTCAAGTTTTAACCTGACTTATATTTTATTACAGTTAAATATGTATGTATAAATAAGGAGTGTTTTTGTTTGTTTGTCTATGTGTGTGTATGTGTATTAGGATACGTTCTGAAGTGATTTTTCGGTCTCGTAGCAGTTAAATAAATGATCAGTAGGTACAATTTATATAATTCTCATTATAACAGCTCCCATTAAACAACACTACTTTGAATCTATTGTTATTTGATGTACATGTATTATTAACTTAGTAATCTAAAATTTATATACGAAAATTTATTTGGCAAATGTAATTTAATATATAATAACAGAGGAAGCTATTGACTTGTTTGTTTGTTGATTTAACAATCGATTTCCGATCCATTCAATCATGGGAAACAGCATGACTGAATGCTGTTCTCTATGTGTATGGTGTTGCGATATTACTATAAGAAATTATTTTCTCATGAGACCTTCCCATGGTGGGTGATGACGTAGACTACCGTCCATGTGTTTCGTTTGTGATCACCTTTTATTATACTCCTGTCTTTGGTTTGGCGGGGGGAGGGGGGGGGGGGTGTCTTTGGTTTGATTATTTTGGATGACATGGGGCGTAGGGGAGTCTAGGTGATGATTACGTCATCGGTAGTTATTTACTTTTTAATCGTCACATCGAGAAGATCCATAAAAAATTATATATATTTTTTTATGGATTTATATAAAAAAAAAACAATACAGTAATTGAAAATGTTTACGTAAGCGGGGGGGGAGAGGGAGTAAGAGCTTTGCTTACTTTTTCTGACAAAGGGGATAGGGGGTTAATAATTGTAATAAATCTGCTTACGTAATACTTGAACGGCCCCTATGTATGTGGTCTCAGCAAGCCTCGGAGCCGTACTTCCCGTTCCTCTGCGGCCACTCTCCTCCGCTGGGCTACCGGTCGGAAGGCGACCACGAAGGCACTGTGAGGGCCTGCTGCGTGTGCTACACGTTCCTCAGACAGCAGTGGGAACAATACGACAGAGAGAACAAGCCGCACAGCCAACGGTTCTACTGGATGAAGAGGCTGGACGGGAAGCCGTTCATAGGTCAGTATATATATATTACCTTTGATAATATCACCAGTCTATGTGAAATTTACCTACGTAATTCATAACACGTTACTAAGTACAGTGATACTACATTACTGGAAGGGAAGTTTTTCATAGGTCAGTATATAAATATTAACTTTGATAATAACACCAGTCTATGTGAAATTTACCTATGTACGTTAATTCATCAAACTTCTGTTAGTACTAGAATAATAACTAAATAAGTAAGACCCGTAATACTATTTTTGGGATTTAAGATTTTGGCGAGTTTTATTCTGATGATATGAAACATCTCGTTTGTCCGTGAACACGGTTGCTGAAAAGTAGTATTCGGGAGTATGTAGTTTTTTACAAAAATAAAGTAGTGTTATCCGAAAAAATATTAGTTTAATTTAAATACAAATTTTTTTACACATCCTGAAACACAGGGGCAGTGTAATGTTCGCGTATCCTGTGTCATTGAGAGTAATTGTCTGACTTTATAAATATTTTAAAGTCAAAATTTGACATTTAAATATGAAAATAAAAGTTTCATATTAATTAAGGAACCTTGATCGACTTTCAACAGAAACTGGTTCGATTATATTCTTTATAATATATGTATATACACTAGGTTTTACCCGCGAATCCGTCTAAGTCGGATTTAGAATTATAAATGTATAGCTGACCGGGCGAACTTTATGACTTTTTAGAGGCAATTAATAAGGAGATTTTGGATGTGATCAACTTTTTTTTTCTTTTTCAATCGGATACAAAGTATCCTATGTCCTTTCCCGTTTTCTAAGTTACCTCTCCACCAATTTTTGCCAAATTTGTACAGTCGTTCTTGAGTTATAAATAGTATAACTAACACGACTTTCTTTTATATACTCGAAAATGTATTTATAACTGTACTGAAGTTCCGTTCTTATCTGATGTACACATGTACTCACCTGATATATCATGTACATCTATATATATATACATACATATATATGTATATATATCGTATGATAACACAAGTCCCGACTGAGCTCAGTGTTCACACTCTGTGACGTAACACACGTCCACATCACTCGCTGAGATAACATTCTCAACAACTCCGCCGTTTATCTGTACCTACTAACGTTATAAAGCTGCAGAGTTTGTTTGTTTGTTTGAGCGCGCTAATCTCAGGAACTAGGGGTCTGATTTGAAATATACGGTCAGTGTTGGATAGTCCATTAAACAGGGATAGCTATAAGACACATATTATTATTTTTTTAAAATTGAGATTAGCTAGAAAATAGCTACTTTGTAACTAGAAGTCTAAAGTCGAAAATCTATCTATTAAGTTGCGCCGGAAAAATTATGGACAGTACAAAAAATAATGAACATTAAAGTATAGTATAAAAACAAATTGTTAAATAGTCTGAAGAAAGAAAGTACCTTAAATGTGTATCGTAATATTAATCACTATCCAAATGAAGCATAATCTTATCAACAGCAGTTATTTAGAAGTAAAATTGTTTGTTTGTTTTATCGAAATCGGACATTTCGTTTAGAAGTTATCACGATTATAAGACTAGTATTATTTGTGAAAGAATTTTATTAACATAATATGCCTTATATTAATCTTTGGTATTCTATTGTGAACAAAATGGTCATTTAAATCACCAAATTACTTATTTTCAATTAAGATCTTAGAATAGTATTCCTATTGATATTATAAATGCGAAAGCAACTCTGTCTGTTTGTCTGTATGTTTTATTATAATACCTAAACCCCTTTAGTGGCCATTGTGGCAGAGTACACTTCTGATGTTCAGGCGAACGGAGTCGCAGGCCAAAGCTAATTTAAATATAAAGTTGCCGAAAAATTTGTTTCAATATATAAAATTTAAATCAGATAAGGTCGCGGTATAAGTCATGTATATGTCTAGAATATTTCTTATCAGTGTGTTCAGTTATTTTACTATAAAATATTTTAATTGTGATAAAAATTTTCATAAGTCGATGTTGGCTCGCTTCTGTTGATAATTTCGAATTATCTTACTAATAAGTGTAATAAATTAAATTAATTTTTTCTCATATATATATAATATACATATCTTTAAAATTGTCATACACATTATATATTTTTTGTCTCATTTCTATATCAAGTACTCAACTCGATTTGTTCTTATGTTAAAAATAAGGTATTACAAATTATAACCTACTATTTGCTTAGTACAAGTTCACTCACGGCACTACACACGAACCGTTTCCAGTTTCTCATTCAATGACTTAAGTTGATATCCTTATATCCTTAGAAACTGTTAACGCTAAGTGTGCAGTGTGAGAATCCCAACTTGTGGTAATCGTACTGTACCATACACTGAAAGATTTCAAATTCATTTCCATACATATTAGGTATATTGTAAATATTTCATTTAATCATTTTCTTAATTTTTTTAACTATATTATATAATATACATTTTATGAGTCCCTGTTATAAAACTATCGTAAACAGATGGGTGTATATGTGTGGTGTAATTAATTTTTAATACTATGACCGACTGTTGTCTACATTTCCACTGTAAATCCTCTGATTGATAAGTGTTATCAGCGATTTTCGTTAATTATAATATAATATTTATACATAAATATTATTTATTAATATTATATGCATATATATTAGTTTGTTTGTACTAATATATACGTGTAAATTTATGTAATGATTTCCCTGATTTATTTTTTAATAGGTATATATTTTATTACTTTGGTTATTATTCATAGTTTCTTTCCCCCTGCTATATCTTATATGTATATATCGATTTATTTAATGCATGATCAGTAATATAATGAGTATAAACACAGTTATATTCTGTAAAAAATTTAACTATGTATTAACATCGTACATAAAAATATTTTGTTAAAAAAATGTTTTTGAAATGTTCTAACCGTTTACTTTAAATATAGATATGTAATGTTTTTCAATTATTCTATCAAGTTTGCTTAAGTTTCAAATTAAAAACATTTTATTTATATATAGAAAAATAATAAAAGAATTATCGAAAACTAAAAATAGACGAGCGTTATACAGAGACCTTAATGAAATGAGATAAAAATAACATTTGAATATAAAGTAAATAGAGAAGAAAATCTGGCTTTATAATGATTTGAATTACATTATAATATATTAAAGAAAAATACAGCTATTATTAATATTAATTATATGGTAATATTGTTAATTTGTACTCTATTATATATCTTGATTATTATAACTAAAACACTCATATATATTAAATGTATATATATGTATATATATGTACAATCACCCCATCAGGTTCACTCATCCGTGTCACCGCCGTCCATATATTTTCGGGGATTTAATGGTTGATGGTTGTATAGATACAGAAGGGAAATTGGTAGGCTGTGTGCATGCTCATATAGCTATAGCTATATATAGCTAGCTCTATAGCTAGCTAGCTATATAGCTAGAGATACGGACATGTTGATACTAATTGCTTTCGACTTGGTGTACCCTTGTATTAAAAATGAAACTTGTAGTAATAATGTGTGCCTTAAGCCTTGATAAAATTCACACAAAACGATATGATGTACTGGGATAGATTACAACTAATACTTTATGATTTTTAAGCTATATTATTGTAAAGTTTCACCAAAATCTGTTTAGTAGTTTTAGTGAGAAACGGCCAAACATGTACAGGTAAACTTTGATTCATAATAGCGGCTAATGATCCAACGTTTTTGACATCACCTGGTCAAGTCAAGGTGTATGTATAACATGAAAAACAGACACACACACACAGAGAGAAGACACAGTGACCGACGAAAATATATTGAACAAACACACAAATAATATGTTGATGATATACAATATATGTAATTAATATACTGTAAAAGCAGTGGTGGCCTAGTGGTTAAAAGGACCGCCTCTCATGCATGAGGGCGCTTGTTCGATCCTGGCCTGGGCAAGTACCAATGTGATTTTTCCGAGTCATATGTACTTTCTAAGAGTAGACATCACTGATCAATGCATCACCAAAGAGGGTTGATGTCGGGCAAGCGGCCGGTCGTAGAAACAATTAGCCAAAACTATTCACAACATGTAAGGCAGACTCTGGCTAAAGCTGGGGAAAAAAATTGCGAGGTAGAAGAAGAAGAATATACATAGTATAGAAGCACGAGTAGGGGTATTCATGTTTATATATAGTGTGAGAAACGGAACGGTATATAGGAAGTTATGAGATTTATTGTACCAGATGGTAGCAGGTGGTGGTAGGGGCAGGAAAACGAGTCCACTGATCAGAATTGATACTGGACATTATTGTATATACTTAGATTAGTACATAATATATCGATGCTTGACAACTGAATATAACGAGTGTACTTTTCATCGAACTTATTAACTTAGCAAAGTGATTTATATATGTATTAGACAACATACGTGGGTTTAAAATACTATTAATGGAGATCGACACAAGCGAGATACGCCTTGTTTCTTTCAGGGAAACCTGGTTTTGTATATATAATATATTATAATTTTATAGGTACTATAAACATATTATTATACTTAAAGATAAAATAACAAAACGTCAGTAATGACTGTGATGGAAACAGCAGTTATGAGATATATGAGAATAAATTTAGAGATATATAAGAGTAAAAATATACTACAAGTATATAAAATATATTGTATACTAACTTTCCGCCCTCAGCTGCGCCCGCGTGGAGTTCGGTTATGTCTCGTTTCCAAGAGAACCTTTCAAAAGTCTGGGATAAAAACTATCCTATGTTCTTTCTCAAGGTCGACTCTATCTCTATACCCAATTTCATTAAAATCAGTTCAGTGGTTTAGGCGTGAAAGCGTAACAGACAGACAGAGTTACTTTCGCCTTTATAATATTAGTAGAGATAATATATACTTGGAATTGTGTGTATGTGTCATATTTTTTAAAAGAAAAACTTTCGCAAGGATATTTAAATCACTAAATCAGATCTAATGGGAATACACCATAAAAATAGTATTTGGTATGACGTCACATTTCGTTGAAGGTTGGATACTCTATATAATTCTAAGCATACACATATCACCCGTTTCTTTCCTCTTACTCTTCTTCTAAATTAGTGTTACAAAATAAAGTGAACATGTTCCATAAGCCAACTTTATAATACTAAATGTTTCCTTCTCTATATATGATGGTGGTTTCTTTGGAGATCCCGTCACCACCGCCCCACGGCCCCATCAGCTACATTGTTCACTATACTACTGATAAGAGCGTACCGGCCACTGATAACAGGAGCCGCCAGACGTGATTATGATTAGAACTATCTGAAAAAACAATATTCATACGAGATACGTAGCTTAACATATACTATCAATATTTATTATGAGATATAGATATATATAGATATAGTGTGGAATACGGAATACGTGATAAGGAATTAAAGAATTTATATCTATTGACAGGTTCCGGATATAATAAATTCTGAATAATTTGACTGCGGAAAATTACTTTAGATGAAATCTATTTTAATTTAAAGTGTTGATTTATATAAGAGAAATTTTATAATTAAAATAATATTAATTTAAGACAGTACAGGGATATCTAAGAGTATCACATTCTTTTTCTTGTTCTACCTGGCAATTTTCCAGCTTTAGCCAAGGTCTGCCTTACATGCCTCTTTTGGGAACGCATTAATCAATAATGTCTAAATACTCTTAGAAAGAACATATTACGACTCGGAAAAATCATATTGGTCCTTGCCAGGGCCATAATCGAACCCGCGCCCTCGTGCATGAGAGGCGGACTTTGTAACCACTAGGCCACCATTGACTAAAGTATCTCATTATCCAATCAAATTACTATTATTTTAGTAGTAGATGACTTCAATGTATAAATTCAGTGGAATTATTGAAAGAGAATTTAAAACTATTATAAAGAATATAAGCTATTTAACTGATCTACATAGACTGAGTGACGGTTTACTAAATATATTCGAGAACACGAAAACAAAAGCCGATAACAAATTTACTTTAAAATTTTAATTAAATGTTATTTTCGTTCTGTACAACACAATCTGTGGTATGAATCAGATATAAACGGCAGTTCGGTAACAGTAGCGGCCTCGTGCAAATATTAATTAACTTTTCATTAGAGAAATGATTCGTTTTGTTTTACGAGCGGCCGAGCACGTTCGACGGGAACGTGTACACAAGGAACAGATTCCGAAGGATATTATGAAAGATTGAGGAGGTGTCTCCATAATGTATTAGATACCACCAGCATCTGAACTACGTACATAAGTGGAACGTTTAACGTGTGTTGCGTCACGCGAACGATAACGGGGTCAGGTCCGCGAGTGGTCAGATGTGACCCGCTGACTGACTCGCCGATATTAAAATATATAAAGAACAGAAACGACACACACACATAATGTACATATGTCGTGATAACACGCTCTATGTACTCGTACTTCACATGTATAATGTACATACAAGTATTACCTCATGGGTTTTTTTGTTTATCATTAACATTAGTCGTAACATCTGATCCAGTACCGAGATATATATTATAATGTAATTGATATGTCTATATCAGTTTGAATCACAGACTGATTTAAAGATAACGTCTCGGATTTAATATATATCGTTGCCATCGTAACGGAGCGACGATCACATATAATATAACGAATGTTTAATTTGATTTATAACCGGGGATCGTTAATATCACTAGTATAACGAACTGTTATCACTATTCTGATGTGTTTCACTGTGTGTTTGTTTTAACGGCGATAGGATCTGACAGGGGGAGGGCAGGAGAGGGGGAGGAGGGGTAGTGACGTCACACTATCAAACTAAAACCGAATCGTGAGTCGGCAGCGTTATGATAACGGGGGGCCGGTCTAGGTCCACATAAACATTATTACAAAGAATAACTCCTACACCCGTCGTGAGATGTATTTATAATCTCAATACATTACTATGAGTTTCTGTTGTTCGTTAATGTATGATGTGTGTATGTATGTTTCAGGAGCGGATATGTCATTCCAAGGGGAGTACGCCGCGCAAGTGTTGGGGCTCGGGGCGGAGAGGGAGGAGTCCAGGACGAACGAAACGGCTCGGGTTACAGCTGATACTAAGGATAAGTTTACACACGTGAGTAGAACATACAGACAGACATATACACATACACACACATACATACATACATACATACATACGACGAAAAGAATCTTTTCTTTCATCTCATCTGCCCGTGATCGGTTCCTTTACAGTAACCGAAACGTCGGCATAATGTAAATAATATAAATTCAAACTCAAACAACTTTATTCAATATAGAAGCATTACACTTTCTTATTGATGGTCACTTGAGACACTACCACCGGTTCGGAAAAGAAAATACCCTGACCTGAGAAGAACCGGCGAAAGAAGTTCAGCGGGATTTTTTTTATATATTAAATAGTTCACAATATCCGAAAAACTAAGTTTCTTTTCAATGAAAAGAAGTATTAAAAACATTTAAATATGAAGAAGAGTAAAGAAGGTATGAACTGTAACCACATCAAGATTCGATGTCTGAATAAGATTTAAATTCTCTTGTAATAAATTAATTTGACGATATATAACTTACATATGTATTTGACATCAATTTATTTTACTACATATTAGTAAAGTCATTGTTCTCCTCAATAATGATATGGACTCGGCGGAAGTCTAACATAATTAAGTTTATAATACTTAAGAATTTATATATGTATATTAAAATACGGCCAAGCCGAAAATGCTATTAACAGAAGTGTGTAAGTATAAAAATATTTTTAATATTGATATATCTGTAGAAGTTTGGGTGATATGGAATTGCCAGTGAAGGGTTCTAGAAGGTATAGAATATTTGGATAGTATTTTAGTACTTTCTTTCAATATGTGGTGGTCTTATTTAGGATTGTTAAGTGAGGAGCTGATCTCACCAACACTCTGTTTCTTGACTGGTTTACATTTATTAATTTAGTTATATGTAAATGTACAATGAAAACTTCATCGATACAGACAGGACTCGGAACATCACGTTTCAGTCGCTTCTCACTCTTATTGAATATTCTCACTATCTTTACAGTACATTTCTTAACATAGTCTCAATACTTCCTCCCCCTTACAGTACATTTCTTAACATAGTCTCAATACTTCGTCCCTTTTACAGTACATTTCTTAACATGGTCTCAATACTTCGTATCTGTCCTACAATTCTTCTAACCATGTTCGTGTATATATTTCAGCAGCAGCGCTTCCCTCCCACCAGTAACGCGACCGGTGCTGTTGCCGCTGGTGAAGAGGAGGTTCTTGACCTCCGTTGCGAGCCGTCTGTGATCTCTGTAGGCTCTCAAGCGTCAGGCGCCAGCGAACCCCCCGGTTTCTTAGAAGCAGTTCATAGCACGGTCCGTTCTAACGCGTCCGTGTACTCGGCTGCCTCAACCTCCTCCTCCGAGAGGGACATCCTCGACCTGTCCATGCCAGACAAGAACTGTATGACGGAGGTGTGCTATGTGTGTGGAGATGAATACAGGAGGGGCTCGCTAGCCAACCTGCTCACCAACGAACCAAAGGATAAGGCGGTACGTTGATTGATACACACACACACACACACACACACACACTGATACACACACACACAGACACACTGATACACACACACAGACAAACTGATACTAGGAGTATGACAGAACATGAACAGGTCTATATAGTTTCAATGCTCATGTGTTACTGATCTTTTAGAATATATCCTAAATTAGTTTTTTACTGTATGTATATAGTTGGCTACATACTGATACATCATTACATATAATGAGGATACTATGTATAATGGTTGTCTGTTTTATTGTACATAGATAGCCGTGGCCTATCCACTGATACAATATGGCATGTTATTATGGTACTATATACTATGGTATGCTATAGAGAGCAAAATGTACTGTCTAATAGGAACTGAGATATAATATGCTAAAATACAAGAAGTATATTGGGATATCACTAATATATAATTTGTCAGTTAAATGTGGCTAAAGCATTGTTTACACAATATAAAATATTATTTTAATGTTCAATTTCATTAAAATTCTGGTATATAAAGAGATTAAGAGTAATGTATATTAAATATATTCTTATACAGACACAGATGATATACCAAATATAAAACCTTCAATTTAGTGTATTTAAAAAAGGTTTTAAAATACAAGCAATTAGACACTACAAAATAAAATATATAGACAGACAATATTATTATTAAAAATATTGTATTTTCAATGAAAAATGAATGCATCTGTATCTTTAATATTGTGTTTTATAAATGCTGAATATTTAATACACACTTAATATAATGATATGACTGGGTATAGTTCTGAATTAAATCTCTTGATTTTTCATATCTTCAACTGTGTACGGGAACAGAAATAGGTGAAGTGGCTCAAATAACTCTCCTCTGAATTTGGCATATTGTACGAAACTTAAATCAAAAGCTAACAAACAAGACATTACATCTTAATATGTTTTATGATATATAAATAAATATATGATAGATTATGTATTTTTATAACGTAATATTAATTACGTGTGGATTAATTAAAACTTTTAAGAAAGTACAGTGTTCAATTAGTTAGATAATGAAATATTGGTGATGTGGCATGAGAACACGGCACTTTGAAGAGTAGCAAGATGCTATCACGAGGTCGTTGGACATAAAACATATTGGACACTATCATATTAATTATCATACATATATAATGTATATATATAGAACTGCACCATTGTTAACTATACTTTGATCCATACTTTCTGTCTCATTATATATTTTTCTATATATTTCTTTTATTATATATAACAAAAATCTATATATTACTACACCTGTGTGTGTTAATTTGTATATAATGTTATGTAGTTTGAATAGTCTGTTAGTGACATCATACGATTTGGAAGTGAAAGTTACACTACACTTCATACTATATATAGTAGCGACATCTATTGAATACATTGTTGATATTAAATGTTGTGTTGTTGGTGGATGTTTGTTGATATTATACGGAAAAGATACTGAACAGAGTATAATAATACTTGCCTGTGATTTATATATATCCTCATATTTTTAAATATCATATAGGTCAACAAACTACTGCCGTGAAACTATTTTTAGTAAATCTAACAGTTGTTTCAAAGTTAGTCACATGACAAATCTGGTGTTGCCAGTTAATTTACTAACCAATCTTATAAATGTTGATAAAGTTAGAGTATTGCTTCTTTATAATGTAGCAACATAGTATTTAAGATTTCCTCTAATTTTTATTTTATATAAGAAATTATTTATATGACCCCAAAAAATAATAAAAATGTTCAATTTGGTGTTATAAAAGTGAAAAATAAAATCTTTCCTTTAGTCATACGGTGATTAAAAAATATATAATTAGATTAAATTCATGATGTTATATGTAGCGTAGAATATATGTATGTTAATTTATAAATAAATAACAATTATATATTAGAGTGCAGTATGTATAGCGCGGGGCTATCAGCTCACATCGTTATACTACACGACCCCGCGATAACACGCCACCTCTGTGTGTTTGTATAAAAATATTTTATTATTTATTAGTAAGAGGACCGACCTGTTACATATAAATAATCTCATTTAATATATTATTTATTTGTTCCACACTTGTTATTATACATACATATATATTATATTCCTTTTTGTCTTTGTGTACATATATATATTTTAAATTATATATAGGTATATGTTTTTATTATCAATGACCTTGAACTGTCTCAAAGTAGAGTGATTTATCTTGTGATCTGTTTTAATTACTAATTGATGTCATGTTATATTTATTTACTTGTGTGTGTGTGTGTTTGTATGTATTTGTCTCTGTGTGTGTGTTTTTCTGTGTGTTTGTCTGTGTGTGTATGTCGTCGCTAGCGGGGTCGGTGGGTCGGAGTGTGGGAGCGGCGACTGCGCCCCCGGGGGTCAAGTCCGCTGTTAACGAGAAAACTTTCCATTACACACTGATATATTTATAATGGAAGATTATACATATTTTAATTTAATAGTTCACTGCGACCATTATCGATAATCACAATGAATTCATTATATGTATGAGTGTCAAAGAACATGTTGTAAAAATGACGGATCGGAGATAAGACATTGAATGAATCTACAGCATCCCAGTGGGAAGTATTAAGATGGACGCAGATTTGTTAGGAGAAAAAAATATACATGACTTTATCCGGATTGAACCGGCCAGAGACGCGGCTGTCTCACGAGAGACACGCGTGTTACAGAACAGAGATACGACGGAACAGACGGACGGAAGAATACACATAATACACAACACACACGGGGCTCAAATGTATAGAAGTAAACTAAATAATATACTAGACATGTTCATGTATTACACCCCTCACACATGTTTACTACTAGACACGGACAGTTTGTAAGTTTGACGGGTTTAGTACATACTAAGGGGTTAGCCTTATATGGGTATGGTTATCATATTGTACTAGAATATATGAAAGGAAATTATGTCCTTACAAGAGATATTATTTAATTCCGACTATTAGTAACTGTTTGTAGTCATAAATATTGATGTATATAAAGTTATATCATGTTATTTCCGTGTGTGTCCAGAGCAAGCAGGCGTACTTCCCCATCTTCGGCGAGCAGCACCCTCGGCCGGCTCGCTCGCGGCCCAAGGACGCGGCGGGCACGGTCCGCGCATGCGCCGCCTGCCACCACCACCTGCTGCAGCAGTGGAACGTGTACCAGGTGAGACCAGAGGCCACGTCCAATCTACACACACGGGGGAGGGGGGAGGGGGCTGTAACCACCACCGGACTCCGGAGTATCTCAGTCAGTGTGTCCCGTTCGTTCAACGGAGTCGGACGTGTCGCTCTAACTTTATATATATATGATAGTTCGCTTCACTAATACTGTTGTGTCCAGTGAGGGGCTGCGGCCCGCGGGGGGTCGGGGATAGGATCAGTGTGTTGTGATGATACTTGTGTGTTACACTGAGTGATTGATATAACATGTCACCGGCCACGGAAAAGGTATGACTTATAATATATAGAGGATAGTGTACTTGATATATAACTGTGATTAAATATAGTACAAATAACCTTAAATGTATTTAATAGATTATTTGATACTAAACTTTCTCATGTCTTGTGTCGTTGTAACGGTCGTGGGACACAAATGTTTACATAGTGATGATTTTTTAGGTGCGACTTACTTAGAGCAAACATTATTACTACATAGTTATAAAGAATTAATATAAATATAGGAATGTATATGTATGTATCCAGTTCGCATTCAATGATACATGTGTGTCCGTCTATCAACATACATTTATAATAAACATTCGTTTTTCCTCCTGTAGTAATCAGGACGGACCTCAGCTCGTTATAGTAATAATATATTAAATGTTAATTAACTTCATATAAATATTTATATGACTCTCAGCGGAGGTCACGTATATATCTCAACGCCGGGTCACTGAACTCTCCTCCCGAATATAATAGTTTCTTTTCTTGAATGTCACCTGTATTCTATATCATATATGCGGTCGACCTCTTGACCTCGTGTTATCAATTACAGATCCGTTACCTCGTGATAAGAATTTGTCATAATATAACGGTCTGTGTGTCCGCTCTGAACATATACAGGGTGACTGGTGAATTACTATCAATATTTAAGGAGAATACTCGGTACATGATTCTCATTCAAATTATGTAAAAAAAATAGGTACTTAATTTTTGACAAAATTTCCGTATAAATAAATAAAGTGTGGATACGTTCCAAGTGTTCAAGTGTGGAGGCGTGCGGCGGCGTGCGGATACAACACTACGTCGCGATACGCGTATGTGTGAGTGTGAGTGTATACCTAATCTGTAGGGTGTTCACACGATGCGTAATTAATTACACAACTTTTGGTTAACTTTACTTAGAAGTTTATTAATATTTATGTTATATTAATTTTTATTTTGTCATATATGATCGTCAAATATCACGTCCTCAAATATCGATAGTAATTCACCAGTCACCCTGTATATCCCTACTAATATTATACATGCGAAAGTAACTCTGACTGTCTGTCTGTTACGCTTTCACGCCTAAAACACTGAACTGATTTTAATGAATTTGGTACAGACACAGAGTTGACCTTGAGAAAGAACATAGGATAGTTTTTATCCCAGACTTTTGAAAGGTTCTCTTGGAAACGCGATATAACCGAACTCCACGCGGACGAGGCCGCGTGTATCAACTAGTATGTCAGTCGACGTGTTTGTATGTTGTCTCCACATGCTACATGCGTGTCCGTCGCTGCTATCGTCCCGTGACCCCCGGGGTCTCGGTGATATCTAAGGGTCAGGGGTCAGGGGTCACTGGTACAAGTTCACCGTACACATTTAATTACTAATTAATCTCATTAGTGCTGGTTGTGTTATAACACTGTTATTTATTGTTCCGTGTCGTTTGTTTGTTGTGATTAGAAAGTATATTATTGAATTTATTACGTCACAGATATGTATGTACGTACAAGTGTTCCTAATTCGGTGATATATTACAAATGTTGAAGTTACATTAATTCAGAGAAGTAAGTAGGATATTATTACACGAGCGGAGACCGGTCTACAACTAGTGCATAATATATGCCGTTAACTATCAGTAATGTTAGATAAGTTACAATTCTCAGCTAGTCGTCATTAGGTTAAATTAAGTCGCATTAATAATATGAGGTCAATATCGATCGTAATAAGAACGAACACTAACTAACATCGCGGCGCTATCTACACATCAACCCTAGCCGACCTCCCGCCGCTAACACGACCTGTTGCATCATACGACAGAGGTCAGAACACGGTACACGAGAGATAGACGTTAGATATATATAACACACACTGTTTGTATACAACACACGGACATACTACACGCAGAACAAGCGAACACTTGTGACGTCATCACGAGGATTTACTTCGATATATAATAATAGCATGCATATAGCAGTGAACAGGTAGTTAGTGTCTCATTAGTGTATCAAACATCGTTGTGGGACGCACTGACGATCATGGTGACACATTGTCCTGTACAGTAGTTACCCGTTTCCATTACCCCCTGTGACGTGTCGTGTGATGTTCCAGATGCGCGGCGTGCCGGCCCACGAGCGCGTGTACACGCTTCGCACCCGCCCTCCCTCCCTGCTGCCTCCGTCCCCGCTGAGCCTGGCGTCGTCTGGGGACAAGTCGGTGGTTGCGCATGCGCACTCGCCGTCCCTAGACCGGCCACCTTCCCAAGCGACGGCCAGCTTCGTGTGTTACGTGTGTGGAGTGTCAGCTCCTAGTAGTCAACTGCGGCTGGTGTACTGCTGCCCCAACCCGGAACGCGAGCCCTACTACCCCTTCATCACCACCCTCAAGCCTCACACGGACGCCAGCCCCATCAGCCCGCAAGGTCAGACGATTCAATATTAAACTGTTCTAATAATTTATATATTTTCCCGTGATAAATAAGTGAATATTAAGACGCATTCCTCTTTCCTGTTGACGCGACTTGAATGTCACACAGGAAATAATGTCTTAAACTAGTACATAAATGCAGTCTATAAATATGAATAATACAATGATAATACATATAAGGCTAGAAAAGAATATTGTTTTAATCTCTTACTGTAATAATAAATATACAGTGCAACCTTAATATAACGGGTTCCTCCATTTAACAAATTCTTCGTAATCCCCCTTAAATGGGCCACAAGAGTTAATGTAAAATATACCTTTACAATGCGATCATTTTTTTGCGAACAACCTTTTTCAAACGAATTTTAGTCCAAACTAACCTCAACATAACAAACCTCAGTTCAACGAATACTTTCTTGGTCCCATCGTATTTGTTATATTGAGGTTGCACTTTATTTAACTCTGTGTGTGTGATACGTACACTGAGCGTCTAAGAGTGAGAAGAGTGTATAATACACTGAGCAATGAGCATGTAAAAGTGAGCAAATTGTGTCGTACACTGAGTGTGTAACTGTGAGCGGAGTGTATCGTACACTGAGCGTGTAAGAGTGAGCAGAGGGTATCGTACACTAAGTGTGTAAAATTGAGCAGAGTGTATCGTACACTGAGCGTGTAAGAGTGAGCAGAGTGTATCGTACACTGAGCGTGTAAAATTGAGCAGACTGTGTCGTACACTGAGCGTGTATGAGTGAGCTGAGTGTACCGTACACTGAACGTGTCAGAGTGAGGCCGAGTGCGGTACACTCGTCTCGTGCTCCGTAAGTCTCCAGCGGAGAGCGCACGTTGCAGGCATGGTGCAGATCTGTGCCGCGTGCTACAAGAGTATCCCGCACAAGTACCCCGTGTACGGAGACGAGCCCCGGGACCACGCCGTCAACCACACGACTAACCACGCCGCACACATACGGTACATATTATTAACTGTCCTTACAGATTAGTACTATTAATGATACATTTAGATTTTTTGTTATTTTAGTAGGGCAGTTAGTTATATAACGTTTCGTTTATATGTTGATTTGAAGATGTTCAGTGAGCAATGTGATTCGTAAATATTATTTTTTAATTCCAGTTTCAAGCCGTACGAGTTGAAGCCCGGTACGGTCGCCAAGCGTCCGTCCAGCGCGCTCGCCACCAGCCCTCACAACCAGCTGGCTGAGAACGGAATGGGGCTCTACAGGTTAGATATACTACTTTGATACAACTTTAATGTTGAATCTTCCATCTCGTTCTCTCTCTCCCATGTATCATATATATCTGTCTCGTTCTCTCTCTCCCACGTATCATATATATCTGTCTCTGTCTATCAGATGTCACGTGTGCGCGGGCCTGTTCCCGCAGCAGTCCATGGAGTGGTTGTCAACGTCAGCGGAGTACATGAACTCCCATGCGATGCACTTCCCGTGTCTGGCTGGCGGCGGGTCGCGCGGCGGGCGCGTGTTGGCGTGTAGTCGCTGCGTGCGTCACCTCGCGCGCCAGTGGGAGCTGATGGACGCAGAGCGAGTGCCGCTGGAGCACCGCCGGTACAACATCCCGTCCCCGCTGCCGGCTAGTACGGGCGGCGACAGGGTCATACCCACCCCGCCCTCCACCACCTCGGATAGGACCGTCGCGAGCAACACCGGTACACAACACATAGATCATCTACATACTTATCTTATATAACATTTACTAAAGATAATTCAAGTCTTGTTCATTAACACCGCGACGGCGCCGGGAGCATAACAATATATATAAAATGAGATCTTAGATTTTCAGGAGTATTCATTTAAATGAAACTAATATTTTTCGGATGTACTACGCAATTTTTTATCTATACTAATATTATAAAGCTGAAAAGTTTGTTTGTTTGTTTGTTTGAAAGCGCTAATCTCCGAAACTACTGGTTCGAATTGAATAATTCTTTTTGTGTTGGATAGTCCAGTTATCGAGGAAGGCTGTAGGCTATATAACATCACGCTACGACCAATAGGAGCAAATATATAGTGGTAAATGTGTAAAAAACGGGAGAAATTATTTCATCTTTGAAGCCTTCCGTTGCGTGCGCCGTGAAAACGGTTCAAGATACACAAAAAATATGTATTAAAGAATAATAGCTCTTTTAATGATGTAAAAAACAGTTCGCGACAGTATATGTCTATCTTTTAAGATGAACTCACAAAAACCGTTTTTATCTTACCTAATTTGGTCGAAATAATTTGTTTAAGTTACAACATAATAATATTAATCCTTATTCAAATAAACAAATAAATATGTTGTTGGTTAAGAGTACTTCATTGTGAATTAAAAAAAACATAGGTTTTATCCTGAAAATTGTACGGGAACTCAACCATTCCAAAAACTCCGAAAAAACGGGAACTATGTGGGAAGAACCAAAAATCTGCCGGAAGTCACTATTCCAGGCGGACGAAGTCGCGGCAAAAGCTAGTTTTTGATAAAAATTACATACTCCCCATATATCTAGTGATCACGGACAAACGATATGTAATCATGCTTGCTGTAAAGTAGCCGAAACGTCGGCAGTATGTAGTTTATAATCAAAAATAAAATGGCGTAGTACATCCGAAAAGTATTAGTTTCATTTTTATATAAAATTCTCTTATCACAATGTTCGTTCCTGCACTCCACCGAAACGGCTTGGCCAATTCTCATGATTTTGTGAGCATATTGAGTAGATCTAAGAATCGGTCAACATTTATTTTTCATACCTAAATATAAGGCTTGTTCACATAAATTTATTTTTATTATTTTAATACTTATACTATATTATATATAACATATTATATTTTCCACCCTCAGCCTGCACGTCCATCTATTGTTTCCTGTGCGGGCTACACTCGGACCTCACCCTAGCCCGCGTGTTGTTCGGTCAGCCCCAAGGGAACGCTCCATACTTCCCATGTCTCCTCACACACCAGGTAACATACGGCAGACTTCATATATTCTCTATAGTCTGTAGTATTTCATATCTCAGCTACTACTATTTATACTGTTCAAGTAGTAGCTCTCATCCTAATATATGTGAATAAAAAAATGATTAAATATAAAATGTTTAATTAATTAAGCTTAGATTTTACTTTCTAGTTGTTTGTTCTTCATGCACTGTAAACTAAATGTATTTAAACCAAAATGTTAACTCTGTGATTACATGCACTCTGTTACTATTTCAGCATGAAGTGGTTGCCTGTAACTGAGGTAGCACATAGCATCTTAATTGTATTAATTTAAAGGGTTGTATTTGTGTATACATTGTTGGCGATCCAATAAATAAATAAATAAATAAATAAATTAGTGCTCGAGCTAATCATATGTCAATTGAACACAATTTGTTGGGATGAGTTTAATGCACAAGCTATTAAGTATTAATATCCAAAGACGAGTCCAGAGATAACATTACAAATAAAGTATTTCATTTACATTGTACAAATTTTGGGTCTCTGTGGTAAAGATGTCATTGAGGTTATGAAACATGGACATGAAGTAGAAAAAATATAGAAATAAAACATAAATAGTTAACTTTTAGATATGTGCATTATATTTTGTAATGCATATGTAAATTATTGAAAGACAAATATGAAATATTTGTATTTTAAATTTGTAATTTTTTTTGTTTTGAAAAGGTATTTTTTGTTTGGTATTTTAAGTAAATATTTAGTAATTGTATGAGTTTTTCAGAATGAGTTTTCTTATTATCATTCTTTATTCTTTTTTTTTTGTATATACTGGGTGACTGGTGAATTACTATCGATACTTGAGGACGTGTTATTTGACGATCATATATGACAAAATAAAAATTAATATAACGTAAATATTAATAAACTTCTAAGTAAAGTTAACCAAAAGTTATGTAATTAATTACGCATCGTGTGAACACCCTACAGATTAGGTATACACACACACACACACACACACACACACACTCGCGCGCGGCGGCGTGGTGTTGTATCAGCACGCCGCCGTACGCGTCCACACTTGGAACGTGTCCACACTTTATTTATTTATACGGAAATTTGGTCAAAAATTAACTACCTATTTTTTTCACATAATTCGAATGAGAATCATGTACCGAGTATTCTCCTTAAATATTGATAGTAATTCACCAGTCACCCTGTAGAACTCAAATATTTGGAACTACTTTTTCACGTCTCCGATAGAGTTAACAAAGTGTATATGTATATTTTATTAATATAATTAAATTCGTATTAAAGATTAAAATTTGAGAAACATTATTTTAATTATAACTTTGTTATCTTGAGATTTATTCGTCCTTTAACATCTCCTGTGCGGCAAAACATTGACAAGTGACTCGTTTACTGCTCCAATGCCACAGAAGGTCACTCGCATAGCTAGTTAAGTTGTGACTGGCTTAGGGAACACAATATTAAAATCACATAACATACAAATACAGATGTCGCTGCTGATCAACTATAATAATATTTAATTTAAGTTAATATTATAAATGTCTCATGTATATATATATAGAGTCACCCTAACGCGGAGCAGCTGCGGGAGAACGGCAGCGCGCTGGTGTGTACGTTCTGTTACCACTCGCTCCTGGCGCAGTGGAGGAGGTACGACGCGCTGGGGGGCGTCGCGCCCGAGAGGAGGGCCTACAACGCTCACGACTATCACTGCCATCTGTGTGGAATAAAGACTTATAGGAAGAGGGTGCGCGCGCTGCCCATCAAGGTGACGCTCACACACACACACACACAGACAGACACACACACACACACACGCACCCGTGTACATAGTGTTAACATATCGTCTGTACAGGAGTTCCCGTTCCTGATGCAGCGGCGGACGGAGAATTCGCTGCTGCTGGAAAACGGAGACTACGCGGTCGTGTGTCTCGACTGTTATGAGAGTCTACGGTGAGTGTGGCGGGGAGGGAGAGAGAGATAGAGAGAGAGGGGGACGGCATGTGACGTGACGTGTGTCGCAGGACGCAGGCCGCGGACTACGAGCGGCGCGGCGTGCCTGTCGACAAGAGGGAGTACAACTGGCTGCAGCAGCCGCCGCCGCCCGAGGACAGCGCTGACGTCACCATCGCCCGCCTGCCCTCTGGAGACCGCTCCGACAAGCTGGTAGGAACGACGCCGGGGCTCACGATATGATGGACGACAGTTCCTGAACTATATATAACGTGATCCATTGCTCAACAGATACCGCAGTCGCTGGTCGTCGGCCGCGGGAAGAGACACAGCCCCAAGCACGCGCCCGCTGACAGGAGGCACAAGAACGACAAGGGGGACGCGGGTGAGTACACACACACACACACACACACAAGATTACTACAAGTGGGGGGCTGTTTCGACGTGGCGAGTTGTTGTTATACACTAGTGTGTGTGCTAGAACATACATATTATAATGTATTTCAGTTAACATTTATATGTATAAGGTTTAGTTTTATTATTGTCATAAATGGCATTGGAAAAAACGTTATTTACAAATCAATTAGACACATATTTTTAAGACGCGTTCTCTTGAATTCATGTAAACAACACTATATATGGGATATCCAAATATATACTGGGAATAAGGTGGCTTTTTGTTTGTCATTTTGTTAGTTGTGGTTTTAATAAGGACTTGAGAAGTTCTCGAGAACAGTTCATATTAATATTAATTGAGTGACGCTAGCGGAACGTGGACTTATAACTCAGGTCATTCATATACTGAGATGATCGGCAACCAAAAGTACGATTGAAATTAGTATTTTTTATTTGGTAGCTCAATTATCTCTGGTGGTTTTTATTTAAAAAAAGTATATCGCACCATAAATTTCAATTTTAGTAAAAATACGTGAGTTTTGTATAAATGTCATCAAATCCTGTGGTTTACTAAAAAACTGAACGTCATCACAAGATAAGAAAGGATAAGCTATTGAATAAGATTAAGATTATACATAGAAGTATATATGTTTTTGTGCACTAGAGAGGGCTGGGGAGTGGAAATAACATAAGGGGAATGTAAAATATTAACGACGAGATAATACCATAGTGGCGTGTACACCATAATGCAAAAAAGCATTGCATACCCTACCCATATAACAACTAAACCTATATTGTTTAATTCTTACTTACATACTTTTAAATATACATTACGAAATATTAATGTTAACAGACATTTAAAATGACATTTGCTTCATGACTTTCTGAAATTATTAAAAGTGCCATCTATCAGTTTGAAAAGAAACATTTCTGATCGGCCGCTGCTAGCGCCGCTATGCAGCCAGAGCGGTGATATGCACAACCACTCTCTGCTTATTTTCCATAGAAAAATTCTCAAGGATGATCTATAGATCTCGTGTATGCATGCAGGAAATGTTTGTATGTGTGTGTATAAAACTATGCATGTGTTTAAAAAAGTCATAGACACTAAGATGATTGTCAAATGAAAAGCCACTATTTAAATTGTTCGTTTACTGTTTAAACATTTTTCACGCTATTTTGTTATTACTGTCCTTCTAAGCGTAAGTGAATAAGTTTTAATTAACTAATTAGTGATTATAGTAACTTGTTATGGAATATTGTATGTAGTTGTGAGCAGTGGCGGCATAAGGCGTGGCCGACGTGGGCCATGGCCTACGGCCTCGCGGTACAAGGGGCCTCGCGCCTCAAAAATTTTTAAAGCGAGAATTTAAAAAAATCTTCTTCTTCTACCTGGCAATTTCCCAGCTTTAGCGAGGGTCTGCCTTACATGTTGTGAATAGTTTTGGCTATTTGTTTTTACAACCGGTCGCCTGCCTGACATCAACCCTTTTTGAGAATCAGAATTAATTAAACCTATATTGATAAGGATAGTGTATTCAATGTTTTAATAATATTTAGCGAATAAATAGATAGTGTTTAAGTATGTATAATGATTGCTCCGAAAACAGTGACGTTTTTTAATTGTTTTTGTTTTCTTTGTGATTTGTAATACATCGGTAGGTACCTGTACTCATCTATTTTACATAAAGTAAGAAATATTTAATTGGTAATAACTAAGAAGTATGTAACGCAGTAATTATATATAAAATACGCTTTATTATATCTTTTGAAGGAAACCAAAGCTTTGAAGCTAATAAACGCATCGACGTTTAAGTTTTTAAAACTAGCAGGTAGTAAGAGCTTCAGGTTGCCACAGAGTAGGGCCTCGCGAAATCTGTCTTGCCCACATCAAATTTAGGTCTTGCCCCGCCACTGGTTGTGAGCTTTGTACCTGTGATGTTTGTTTATCGAAATTAATTACGAGTAGTTTTTCAATATTGTCGTTTGATAATAAAATTAAAATAATTGTGAAGGGAAGGTGTTGAAGTTGAAGAAGTTGAGATTGAACTAAAAAAAAGCTAATGTTACTCGTTTTAATACAAAGTATTATGATACTTTTAATTAGTTAGCAGCTTGTGTACGCACAAATAAGTTAATTTGTTTTCTTGTTTGTTATTTTCAAATGACAAGAATGTTTGAATCTTCACTGGATATTCCTATCTAAATAACTTTTATAAATTAGTGATGAACAGATCGTAATCGTTTTAAAGTACTTTCGTGGCTCAAAGTTAGTTGATAAATTTATAAAATATAAAGATAAGCGCGAATATTATCAAAATTTTAAAGGAGGGAATTATGATGATAAATATATATTTTTTCTAAGATATATTCAGCTTACCCTTTCTCAAAGAGGGTTGATGTCAGGCAGGTGGCCGGTCGTAAAAAAAATAGCCAAAACTATTCACAACATGTAAGGCAGACCCTGGCTAAAGCTAGGAAATTGCTAGGTAGAAGAAGAAGATTCAGATTACCCTACTCCAAATCTCTCTTTAGACCCTGTGTGTGGTATACTACTTGTCATCATAAATAATTTAATCTATGTCAGTAAGTGTCGCCCGGCGTGAGGCTGCTGCACCAGTCACACTTCATAAGTTACTAACTAATATAGTCGTTATCATGATGAAATGAAGTTCATTTATTTGTTACTTAACTTCACAGTTTCAGTAGTCATCTTGTTAACATGTAAACTATAAAGGGTCTTCTATGCGTCTTGTGTCCCGTCGTTCACGTTTTCCTTGTGATTCACATCTCGTATGTCTATTATTCTAAGACTTTCTTGTCCCTTTATTTCCTAGTGTTCCTTGGTTTGTGTCCCATGTTCCGTATTCATTATGTCCCGTGACTATTTCGTCCCGTTAGTCCCGAATGTCCCGTGGTCTTTATGTCACTCGTGTTCCATATAACGTAACACTCTTAATGGTAATTGTATATTTTAGTATCCGCAATAAAAACAATATAGGTACTGTAATATATTTAATAGTATGTCAAGACTATTAACGCCGCGGGGTTCATATTTGACGAGTGTTTAATAACAAGGTTGACCGTAATCCAAATAATGTTACGAACTGGACCAGCTGAATTTGTACCCGGGACTAGAAATAATTGATGATCGTTTGACGAACTCATAATAATAAACACATTTATAATGTATGATGATAATGTTTCAGTAACATCACTTGATTATCATACTTAACTATTAACTTTTTGTATTTTTTCTATGACGTCATCACTTATTAAATCTCCTTCATGAATCACAAAACACTTCCCGTGTAAGTAAACGTAGGTGTGAACAATTTTCCACACACGTATTCCGTGTTCGAGAGGAAACTCGCTCCTGGAGGTGTCGGGGGGGTGGCGTGGGGGTGTGTGGAGCAGTGTGGGGGTGTGTGGGGGTGTTAGTCTGACATTAGCAATATCGGAAAACGTTTGTGAACTAGGGTTATTTTAAACGCGCCACCAGTTTTACTATTGGTTCGCTGGATTGTTTGCGATCACAGTTTGTTCTCTATGTACATACACACATATATGTTAGGTTGTTTGTATATATTAATAAATTAGAATTGATTTCATTAGTATGTAATATAAATGTTAATATGAACATATTTTTGTGTTATAATAATTGTCATTAATATCATGTAATTATCGTATGTATATTTATTTAGATTCTTAATACTTGATACGAATTAAAATTTAATAGTATGTACGTATGTATTATGTTATTTACAATTATAACAGATATTATGTGTGTTATGGTAAAATTAAGATCTATCGATATCGATTTATTATCATTTATCATTTAAAATATTATGATCATATACGATTGAATCGATACATCGATACTTATCCGCTCACATCCCTAGCCCTCACAGACGCAACAGTCTGTGTCCCCGATCACAGGCGATCCTCGTTAACGTGCGCCCGGAATGATATTATTATGAACGATGACGTCACAATATAAATATATAAATATTAAAATATAATATACACACATACATATACAGTATGTCGTCGGCGTCTCACATAATATAATATCCGTGTGTAAGATCGTTTGTATTCGGAAGTTCCGTGTTAGCCCTCGGTGACACCGCTGACTGCACCGACTTCCGACACTAGCGACTGTGCACACACCTGCACAGGTGCTGTACACACATAACACGACTCTATAACCAACAAATAAGGTTCACATTACTATGACCATTATAATGAGCAGTATACACAGTGAGAAGCAATCTTGTGTGTAGTGACACACGGTTCACGTTACAATGAGCATCACTTTATAGTGGTGACGATCTGAAACCGATCCTATCATCAACTAATACGGCGTATATTGTAATGACGCGCGATTTGTGTATGTGTGTGTGTGTACCGCGCATGTGCATGAGTCGCGACTGGAGACGCTTGTATAACAGTCGCTGGCCGTCCGCCGCTCGGGTCGGACGTGAAATTGAACATTACGGTCGGTTAGATGCTCAGTAGTGATGTGATTGTATCGATATTTATATAGTAAGATGAATAAATTGTGGTGATATTATAATAAATTAGTGAGCGGTTACGAAAATAAAAGTGATACACGTTATAATATTAAATGTATTTTATATATAAAGTACATTAAATTCGGATACTTAATGAGATCTCGACTATGTTATTAATGTAATACACATAAAATGTATTGAAAACAAATAACTAGTTAGGGACGCTCGTTACTCTAGACCGCGCGTTTTTTTTTGGTCGTTTCAGTCGCGCGTGTTAGCCGCCCGTCTGTCGCGCCGCGCCGTCTAGTGGTAGAGGTTTGAGTTTTAATAATAGAGGTATCAAGTCGGCCGCGCGGGACTCACGCCGATTAATATTATATTAGAAATGTACAGAACTAACACAGACAGACATCGCGGAGTGTATTTGTGTAGTCATGGGTACATTTAGTATGACAACAGTATTTAAAATTATTCA